GGTCTTCATCCTATAATTGGACAGATCCCCAAAGGTGACGGGCATATCAATCTGCCCAAGTGGCATGGCCTGCTTTCCAGGCATGATGCCGTGGAAAGGCGCTCTGGTTGGTCGGACACATGATCAATCGATGCCCATGGCATCAAGCGTTTTGGCGTACATGATGTTGAGGCTGCTGCTTCCATCCATCAGTACCTTGGTGAGCCGCTTCATGCCGATGATCGGGTCGACCACGAGCAGATATCTCCCCGATTGCGAGACGCTCTCCGGGTGGTCGGTCTGATCAAAGGTTATGGCGGACTCCGACCATCAGAGGAAGGTAGGCATGGTCGGCTCGGCCGTATAGACCTCGCAGTGCGTGAGCTTCTGGCGGTGCTTGGAGTCATAGGCCACCGACCCTTCGAAGATCATGAGGTAGCCATCCAGCGTCTGAAAGCCACCGTCCCTCCCCTCGCAATCGTCCACGGTCGGCTCGGGGTACTTCCCATGCCCTCCCTTGTTGAAGCCTCCGGACAAGAACCGCTTCATGAGGCCGCAGTCCTTGTATAGATGCTTCACGGGGAAAGATGGTTCAGGCATGACCCTTCGAGCAGCTTCTCGAAGTGGTCTGGGGTACCCTCAGAGGGCTTTTGACCCCCCTTGCAGTCGGCGGTGGCCACGAGCGAGCCCTCACGCCGCTGCTTGCTCTTCTTCTTGATGGGACGGTTGGAGGTGCCTTCACCGGCGTCCTCGTCTTGCTTTGTCTTGCCCTTGAGACGGTCGAAGATTGCTCCGACCGCCTCCTCGCCCGAGGCGTGGCTGGTGGCGATGTCGAGGAGCTCCTTAGTGGTTCACGGACCCTTACGTCCTAGCTTGTGAACTAGGGACTCACAGGTGGTCCTAGACAGAAAGGCTCCTATGACGTCGGCGTCGGCAGCATTGGGCAGCTCGTTGCACTGCCGGGAGAAGCACCGGATGTATCCACGAAGGGTTTCTCTGGCCTTCTATCGGCAGTTTTTTAGATCCCATGGGTTCCCAGGACGCTTGTACGTGCCCTGGAAGTTTCCCACGAAGATCTCTTTCAGGTCCGCCCAACTTTGGATTCTATTGGGCGGAAGGTGTTCCAACCATGTTCGTGCCGAATCGGCCAGGAATAATGGAAGGTTGCGAATAATAAAATCGTCATTATCTGCTCCACCGGCTTGGCAAGCAAGACGACAATCCTCGAGCCATAGTTCGGGGTTTGTTTCCCTGGAGTATTTTGGGATATTGGTTGGTAGTTGGTACCGTGGTGGGAAGGCGACGTTGAGGATCACGGCAGGACAGGCTCGGGCTTCGGTCCTCGCCGCTGTCATAGCGTCCGCCATGATGAGGGTGGTAGCCGCGGCTAGCACCCTCCCTCGGATCACCGTGGGCATGCCTACGGGCATCGAGGGTGTCACGCACGTCACGGTTGTGGCCGAGATGCTCATGTACCGGGAACGTGGTGCGTAGCCTGTCGCCTGGTGGACTGACGCACCCTTGTCGGGTCGCTCCGAGGGCATGCGTTGGCTGGCGTCGAGCTCGCGTCGCTGAGACAACGAGCTCTCGACCTGCTGTGCCACCGCACGCTCGACTAGCGTGCGAATCTCACGATGGGCTTGACGGTCTTCGGGCATTGCGGGCCCCGAAAGCCCCTAGAGCAAGGCCACCGCAGCGGCGATGTTCTGGCTCGCCCGGCCGAAGTACGGGAGTGCTTCATCATCATCGATGATCCTCCGGTTCACGTCGCGGGCCATGACACATGCACGCCCACCGTCTCCGTGGCGCTCGATCTCTCGATTGAGCTCCGCGCGTTTCTGCTCGAGCTGGAGTCACGCTTCATCGAGCTCTTGGTATCGGGCCTTCAGCTGCTCCACCCGCAGGCGAGGCGGGGCCCCTACATCCCCCCCGAGCTCATCATCAAGGCCATTCATTGGGGTAGCCTCTTCCTCATGGATGCTTTCGACGTGTCCCTCAGGGGACCTGCCATGAAACACTCATGAGAGGGGTGCGACTCCCCCTGCTGGAGTCAGAGCTGGAGGGCGACTCCAATTCTCCTGCGAGGAGGTCATGGAAAGACTCAGCGACATATTTGGTCATCCCCACGAACTCATTGTTCGTGGGGGATGGATGTGTGCATTGTGCCCCAGGGTGGTCAACGGTCTCTGCGGCGTTGCGGAGATCGAACAGGAGCGCTGTCATGGTGCTTCGGGGGAGGTATTCTGGGGAGAGGGGCTCTCCCTCGGCAAGCTATGCCATGACATTATCGAACGAGAAGATGAGGTGGCGTAGGTCCTCCCGGGACGGTCAGGGTCCCAGGAAGGTGCCGAGCTAGCGCTCTAACCTCCTGTAATCGAAGCCGAGGAGTTGGTCGCTCCCGGGGGCACGGGCCTTCGATGCGTGCAACTGTAGCTCCTCCAGCGCCTCGGCGATCGCGCGTGAGGCTGGCGAAGTGGAGAGGTTGGACGGCGGCGGGTGCCTACGCCAACTCTCCTTCTGTCGTGGCGATAAAGTCCAGGTCCCCAAAGCGCACGTGCGTGCCCAGGACCCAGCTGACGTTGCGACTAGCCTTTCGAGGTCTGGTGTGGATGTCGAGACATGCAAAAGGCCCCTACCTGGCGCACCAACTGTCGGTGTTTCGAGTCACCACCGACAAGTAAATTTCTAATATTGTGCATCTGGCTCGGATGGTGTGCTTAGAGGACACGAGGTTTATACTGGTTAGGGCAGAATGTCCCTACGTCCAGTTCGTCACTACTGCTCGTGTTACTAGCACCAAAAGTTTGTAGTAGGGGTTACAAACGGGTGAGAGAGGGTTAGGTCCCATGTCTCTAGTGGAAAGAGTGAACGGGTCCCGAGAGCTCGGTTGCCGCTCAGCCGTGTGCTTGTATTGTGTTCTGGTCGGTTCGTGATGATTCGATTGGGTCTGGCCTGGATCGATTCGATGTGTTTTGATGCCCCTTATGGGACGCCCTGCTTTCCCTTTTATAGGCCAAGGGAAAGCATGGGTTACAACGGAGGAAAAAGAAGAGTGAGAGACAGAGAGCCGAAGGCCTTCAGGATCACTGGGTCCTTCTCCTTCATGCGGGTCCCACCGACCCTGTAGATGTCAACAGGGACGGCTTCGCGTCGCGGTCCTGTCCGTCACTAGCGCCATGCGTAGGCGTCATATGCTGGTCATGGCGCTCCACTCCATCCTGGCGAATATCGTGGTGAACTGACGTGCCCGTTAGTGTTCGTATAGGGGTTAGGCAGAATAACACCGGTACGCCCGACGTTGTTCTTGATGTGAATCCTCCGGTATGGCCCGTCAAGGCCACGGGTTACATCGGGGCGTGCCGATCTCTTCCTTGGTGTTAGAGCTTTGACTCAGGCCCATACGCTTGGACCTGGAGTGGTTGGCGGCGGTATGAGTCTCCGTCGGGCGAGGCAGAGCCCACGGCCTCAGGGTCGGGCGAGGCGGAGTCCTCCCCCAGAGGCCGGGCGAGGAGGAGCGCAAACCCAAGGGTCGGGCGAGGCGGAGCGCAGACCCAAGGGTCGGGCGAGGCGGAGTCCTCCACCAGAGGCCGGGCGAGGCGAAGCACAAACCCAAGGGTCTGGCGAGGTGGAGCGCATGCCCAACGTTTGGGCGAGGCGGAGCGCAGACCCAAGGGTCGGGTGAGGCGGAGCTTGTGGCCTTGGAGTCGGGTGAGGCAGAGTCCTCCCCCAGAGGTCGAGCGAGGCGAAGCGTAGACCCAAGAGTCGGGCGAGGCGGAGCGCATACCCAAGGGTCAGACGAAGCGAAGCGCAGGCCCAAGGGTCAGGCAAGGCAGAGCGCAGACCCAAGGGTCGGGCGAGACGAAACACAGACGCAGAGGCCGGAAGAAGCGGAGCTTGTGCACCGGGGGGGTCGATTGGAGCTGTAGTCGCGCTCTTGACTGCTCAGATGAATCAATGTTGATGGTCATTAGCTCCTCCTCTTCGGGTACCCTAGTATTGGTCCCCGACAGCGGGATCCAATCGTGCGGTCACGGTGGAGAAGGAGGATGGCAGCGGGCGAGCGGCTGTGCAGCCCCTGGTGATAGGGCACACGCGGTGCCCTAGGTGAGCGGTGCCAGCGGTGGAGGCGATAGCAACAGTCGGGTGGGTGCGGCCTAGCGCGGCCGGGCGGCAGTGGCTGTGCGGTCGTGGGGGAGCACGCCGTGGCGGTGCGGTCGTGGCAGCGGTGGAGAGGTAGGCCGGCGGGAGGCGCGTTGGAGGGGAAGGCGTGCGGGAGGTGCGGCGGAGCGCAGTTACGGTTGCCTGAGTTTTTTTTATAATCCCGGCGATTGGAGGGGAGCGGAGGGAGCGGATAAGAACGGATGGGCTCCTGGACGTCTGATTGCTAGCATTATCGTTCTAAGAAACCATTTTCTTCTCTCTTCCTTAAATAATTTCAATATCTATCAGATCACTATTTTGCTTAGTTTGACATTCTAATTAATAAGTAAGATAGAAACCATTTAGTTTCTAGGTTATGACTTGCCTAACAAAAGTGCCCTAATAAGAGAGACTGTTTTCAAAATGCACCAGCGGCTAATAAGAAACGGTACAGGGGAGAGTATATATTATTATGCTTTAATCACAATGCAAACCATGATAGCTGTAGTGTAACCAGATGGGAGCTGGCCAGAACACTTAAGTTTGACTACCCTTCTACTCCTAAAAGGAAAGTGCAGCGAACCCAGAAAGACACTTCTTGAATGTGAGAACGGTACATCACCTAGTAGTGTCTTTACTTGAAACCTTATTCGTTCAGTCTTCAGTGCATAAGCAGAGCACCCTAACTATACGCTAGAGAAAGCTGCAGTATCAGTAGTACGGCACTATTTAGTAGTAGTATCTCTTTACAGAAACAGTGAGAGATGGACCACGAAATGCGAACGGACTACGTGACAAGCTGGATTCATGGAGAATCATGAAGAGGCTGTGAGGCCGACGACGGATGATCGTCTCCGAGCAGCAGGGACTTGACAATGGTGTCAGCCATCCCGTCGGCGAGCGGGAAGAGATGTCCCGACTTGGGGAGCTCGTGGTAGACGACCCACGGCAGCTTCTCGCTGATGTACCTCGACAGGCTGACCGGCACGACGAGGTCCTCGGCGCCGTGCCACAGGTGCACCTTCCCGCCCCTCCTGGCCATCATCGGCGTCGGCGAACGGGTTCTCCAGCTGCAGCGGGCTCCAGCTCCATTTCCCGAAGCCGACCATCATGTCCCGGTGCAGGCACTCGTGCTCCCCCTGCTGCCTAATCTGCGGCTGCAAGCAAAAATCACACAGCACGCATTCACACAATAATTTCATGGCGGCAATCTATGCAAGATCGATGAGCGCGAGGTACAATGGCTGAATTTGTTTAGTACAGTACCATGTAGGTTCTGTAGCCAAACTTTGCCATGAGCAGCTTGTCTTCTTCGGACAGGAGGGCAGGGTTGTAGGCGATGACGCTGGAGGCCGGGAAGAGCTTCTGGCTGTTCCACCAGTAGGTCAGCCACGGCAGGTGATGCGCGACCCAGACCGCCCACTGGTCCTGAGGGAGCTGCTGGTACCAGGCGTCCCGCGACACGTTCGCCGGCAAGCCGGACCACCAGTAGTTGCCCACCGGGCCGAGAATGGCCACGCCAGAGAGCCTGCACCAAGATCAATGTCCAGGTAAAAGGAGAAAAAAAGGATCGAACATGCTCTTTTTGCTGGTTGGTACTGACTACTAAGTACTACTTGGCAGTAGTTGGTACGCTACCTGTGTGGGATGTACTTGAGGCAGCTCCACATGATCTCGCCGCCCATGGAGAAGCCAGTGAGGTAAAACTTGGGTCCTAGCTGCAGGTTGTCGGCGAGCTCGGCGATGTCGAGGGCGATGCTCTTCTCGGTCCTGCCCGGGTGCGGGTCGCTCTCGGCGTACCCTGGCCGATCGAAGGACAACAGGTAAACGCCCAGCTCTTGTGCCAGCTCCTGCATCCACCGGTTCCTCATTCCGTGAAACAGATCAATTTGTCACATACAGTTTGGTAACAAAGCATACCTTGGAGATTGGAAGCGCGTCATTTCTGCAGGAGTCGAATCCATGGACAAAGATGATCTTGTACTTGGCCTTCTGCTTGGGGACGCCGGTTTCCAGATAGGCCAGGTACCTGCCGTCGCTGAGCCGCGTCCTGGTTGCCGTGACCGGAGGGCCGCCCGGCGAACCGGGGATCTTGGGCGGTGGCGGCTGAATCTGCTTGTACAGCAGCGCCGATAGACATATTAGCAGTGCTAGGATAAGCTTCCTTGCCGTTCCTGCGAGTGAAATGCGAACAAATTAGTACGTCCAACTGACACGGCGTCATGTATTCATCTCGTAGAATGACTGTGCAAGTACGCGCTGGTCTGAACATTTGATTATGCATGCAGTTTATTTTGTTGAATGCACTCTGTTCTGTTTATCTCGCTGGTCGTTGAAGCAGTCCCTTTGATAGGTTGAGGTTCAGAAATGTCAGACTTGCTCTGGAGTTCATTTTTGAGCAAAATCAGAAATGGAAGGAAATATTTTTTTTAGAGAACGCGCTTAGGCATGTATTTCATTGAGAGAGAAATGGAAGGAAACTTTCAACATGTACCGAGTTCAAGAAATCTCCACTTGACGCCTTTTTACATCTACCGGGTAGTAAGTAGTTGGTTTAGTGCTCTTAGTGTCAAAACATTACTGCGGTCCTCAAGAGGCGTCAGACAAATTGACGTCTGAAGTAACCTTGAAAACAGCCTGAATCAAAGAAAAACTAAAACCATTTGCAGACTTGTAAAATCCGAAGTCCGATCAGGAGAACCAATGGTGCGCAGCAGAGTGTGGTGGTAAGCTAAGAGGCGTTAGACGAATATAGACGTCTCTGAAATATCCTATAGCAAACAGCCTGAATAAAAATAAATATATGACAAACCATTTGACGACTTATAAAATCCGATCAGGAGGAGAACCAATGGTCCAGATAAGATGCACCTGTGACAACTGTCAGCTGACACACTAAGAAGACATTGACTTTGATAAAGCGTTACGTCAGCTTAATTTTGTCCTCGTTTTCAATTTCTCAACCCAATACCGACTGTCATTTTCAAGCACGCCGACACGCGCATCCATAGTTAATTTTGTCCTTACACATATATTAAACAATAGGAGTACAAGATAAGGGTATCACAAATAATACAAGATCTGGAATCTTTTTTTTTCCGGGGTTGCGAACCAATCGATCATGAATTTAATGGTTTGATGAACAGCGTCGCTTTTTTTTTTCTCTGTGGAAAGCGAACTGTTGCTCGGTCCAAGGCTAAGCCAAACCTATCACAATCACATATACAGAAATAATAACATGATCTGCTCTCGTGGGCATTGCTTTAATAGTCTTACGCGTCGCCTTTGAACGAAAGGACTAAACGCCGTGCAAAATTTTCCCTGAACCGAAAAAAGTTTTCATTTCGCTATCAGCAAAGGAATACACGGGAAAAAACTTTTCCATCCGTAACTATCGTCCTTTAGGCCATCTAGACTCCAGAGCCCACCTTTGCGACTGATTTAAAAAAAATATAAACTACATCGGTCCTTCTAGAAACAAATCCACATATTTTTCAGCAAATGTTTATATAGCGTTGAGATGAACATACAAATCTTTGCGACTAGCTGAGAAAGCAAAATGGATACAAAATAGCTACTGCTAAGAACATGGAAAGTTGATAACCTTTTGCATATTATATATAACAGATTATTATAGATCGAACCAAGAACCAGATATGCTCTCCAGGAAAAAAAAAGGAATAAACGCAAAGGTGAAAAGGCCAAGGTCCTGTCTTCATGCAGCAAAAGGATTCGAGGCACTGCGGGCTTGCCGGAGCCCGGAGCCAGTTAATAGAGTAGCGAATTAGTTAGTATTAGTACTAACAAAATCAGGCATCAAGTTCGAAGATCACATCCTACCGCGCGCGGGCACAAACAAAGGTTAATCCTACCCACATGAATCAAGAGAAGCAAAAGAACCATGCGGAGCCAAGTAACAAGATCACATCACAAGGACCGCATACTAGTCACGGCCAATTAATCGACCCAGCAAAGATGAGAGAGTATATATACCGCTGGAGGCCAGGGCCGGTGGCGGTGGCCGCTTCTCGCCGGACACGGTCACGGCCATGGTGGCTAGGCAGCCTTTGGTAGAGCCGGCGAGACGCCTCCGCGGCTACGGCGAACGTCGTTGGCTTGGGGGCTGGGGCAAACAGCAGGGATAGCAGGTAGTAAGCAAGTACCAGCACGAGGAGGATGAGGATGTTTTACTGCAGTTGACCGGAGTCCGGAGAAAAGCAGGCAGACCCCAGTGACTTTAAAACTTCTGCTTTCTGCCGGCCACTGGTGCCTGCTGGGATCAGTATTTTGTTGATATATACCAGTCCTGCACGGGTCACGGGGCCCCACGGCTCCAAAGGAAATAAAATACTAAAGATAAGGTGATGATACTCTTCCGTCTCAATGACTGAATATATATTAAAATATTAATATTATGATAAATATTATTAGATTAATTATACAATGTATTTTTATGATCAATATATTTGTAGATACAAAGTTTGATGATATTTCAGTAAAACTAGTTAAAGTTTAAGAAAGTTTAACGTAGTCTAAACTTAGTTAAAATTTCAATGCACCTCAGTACTTGTTAACCAACTAGCCATTGATGCAGTGTCAGAGACTCGCGATATATGAGACTACTTCAGACTTCAGTGACAGTAATGAAGGTGCATGTATGTTGCAGTATTTTTACAGTTTTTGTTTTTTAAAAAATAGTATTTTTAGAGTGAGTAGTGAGGAACCGCCCCAAGTACTGGTTCTCGGTCCAGTGAATGTTGATTAACGTAGGTGCAATTCTGTTCCGAACTTCAGTGGGTTGGGATTCATTCAAGAGCATACATTCGCCAGTAACGAAGGTGCATACTAAGTGTCGGTGTTTCGGAACCGGGGTCTTTAATCGATTAGTGAATTTATACTGCGTGCTCCTAATTCCGGATGAAGATGCAAAGAGACACAAGGTTTATACTGGTTCGGACAATGGATGCCCTACGTCCAGTCTGAGAAGATGTTCTTGTATTCCTTGCACCGAGGTGCTCGTAGTAGGGGGTTACAAGCTAGGCGAGAGAGGGAGTTCGTCCCAGGTCTCTGTGAGGGGAGGTGCTATGAATTACAGAATGAGGCGTGTTGTTCGTGCGAGTATTTGTGATTCTATCCGTCGTCCTAGAAACGGTCCTGGCTGCCTCCTTTTATAGCCGCAGGGAGGAAACCAGTAGTACATAAGAGAGCTACACGTAGAGCAAGGACTATTCGATGACGTATTTACTCCTGTAGCAATATGGCGTTGTCGTGGGAGTTCCCGTAGATGTCTAATCGGTATGGTCTCCACTGCAAGTAACATGCTGCGCATTTGTTGACTTGGTGGATTGCAGAGGCTCGGCGACCATCATAGCCGGTCGTGCCAAGGCCTATCGTGCCGAGGCCTGTTGTGCCGAGGCCTGCCGTGCCGAGGCATGAGAAGTGACCTAGGTGCAGATGCGGGTCTCAGCAGCCATCAGGCGGAATAGTGCGAGACGTGCGCCTACAGGATACGGTACCTGTATTGTCAGTAAGGGATGGTAGAAAAGATGATCTGACCGTTGTCCCGTCGCTCCTGTTGCAACGCACTGCCGATCGTGGCTTACGTAGCGGGTGCCGCTGAGCGCATTAATCGGATGCGACAGCCTGCCAGAGAGACTTTTGAGGCGGAGGCGACGAGGTTGCGGGACGAGCCCAGCCTCGGGCGAGGCGGAGCATGGCCAATTCGTCCGAGGCCCTACCGGGGGTCCCGGGCGGCGGACGGGCGAGGCGGAGTAAGATCAGTGAATCCGAGGCCCCGTCGAAGGGGCTCGGGCGAGACGGAGCGGTCGGTCCGCTGATTCCGAGGCTATAGAACGTCCTTCGACGGGCCCGGGTCTTCCTTTTCCTCCAAGCCAGCTTTGTAGACACGGCCAGCCGGTGTCAGAGGTTGGCACGTTCGTCGGGTGCCTGTGTGCTGATGATGTTGCGCCTTTACCAGATCTGCAAGTGGTCACGTCCTGTCCCGCCCCCGCGAGCGGCGTGTCGGGCTAAGATGTTTCCCCACGGCCCTATGGGGAGCAGATGGTGCGGTGACCGCTCGTTCGTTACTATAGAGGACGGGAGTCCCTCCTTGGACTGTATTGGTTGTCTTATGTTGATGTCTGGTTCCTCACCCGGGGGCTAAAGGCGGCGCCTACAACACTATAGGCCGGAAAGTATGCGCCCACAACACTATTCAACTCCTGCTATACCTGGAAGGGTCTAAAGCGCCTGTCTCGTCGTGCTCTGACAGTACTTTCTTGCAGCGGCGCAGGGCATGGTCCTCGATGCCGCGGTTTGACCCGAACGCCTTGTCTTACCCTGTGCCTATCATCATGAGGGAGCAGGGTGCGGTTGTCAGGTGAGGCGGAGGCAGCCTTTGGACATCGAGCGAGGCGAGGTCCATCAGGCGAGGCAAAACCTAGCCTTCGGAGGTCAGGCGAGGCGGAGCCTAGCCCTCGGGGGTCGGGCGAGGCAGAGCCTAGCCCTCGGGGGTCGAGCGAGGCGAAGTCTAGCCCTCAGCCGTCGGGCGAGGCGGAGCCATCCCCCAGCCGTCGGGGGAGGTGGAGCAGGCCGACGAGCCTCGGGCGAGGTGGAACCAAAACTCTCGTCGTTCGGGCAAGAAGCGCAGCGGTGCTCTTGTCCATTCGGGATTTTTTAACGTTAGATGGTTATTAGTTCCATCTCCTTGGGTACCCCGGTATTAGGTTCCCGACAGTAGCCCCTGAGCCCCCGGGTGGTTTGGGCAGAATCGCCCGGGGGTTGTTTCGATTTCGTCGAAGTTAGTTCGCCAGAGGGTGCGCGCGAGCGCACCCGATGGGTGTAGCCCTCGAGCCCCCGGGTGATTTGAGTAGAATCGCCCGGGGGTAGTATCGGAGTCAATTCGCCAGAGGGTGCGCGCGAGCGCACTCGGTGGGTGTAGCCCCCGAGCCCCCGGGTGATTCAGGTAGAATCGCCCGGGGTAGTATCGGTCCCTCCGCGGGTAAGGCCGTAAGACTCGGTGTTTCGTTGATTGGATTTTCTTTTTTTCGCGGTATCCCGTTCGTGGGGATTTCATTCAGGGCTAGCCTGATTCGGACTTTGACTGCGGATCGAGACCCTGGTCGTTTTGCGGGCCCATCCCTCGTTGGGTCGGCCCTTGGGCTCCGGGGTCCTAGGTGGGCCAGAGAGAAAGAGCTTTGTGGCCCGTATTCCCTTGGTGGGAGGAGAGTCCTGGTCCGCCTGGGGAAGGCGAACTGCTCGGCGCGACTTTCGCGGGAAGGGATAGGGATCACGTGCGCTTGTCCCACGACGTGACACGACGGTGTGCGTGGCAGGCCCAGAGATCGAGGCGGACTGTTGCCCTTCTCGCATCCATCGCCCCTATAAAACTATGGGGTTCGCCCCCAGGGTTCCGTATTTCGCCCCCTGGCCTTCACGTCCGAAACCTCCACCGCCAATCGCCCTAGCCTCCTACGCCCGCACCACCGCCATTGTTAGGTTCGCCTTAGCGTCGCAGCCACCGTTAAGCTCGCGCCTGCCTTGCAGTTGTTGTTGAGCTTGCACCCACCTTTCTTCCTGACGCTTCAATGGAGTTGTGGGGCAGATCCGATGTTACCTCTCGACATTTGGAGGGTCTTGTCCGCCGCGGCCTTCTCCGCCCTCAATCCACCGTCGCGGAGTGGTTGCTGCCCGGTGAGGAGGAGGCACCGACACCGCCCGAAGGGTACGTCGTATCTTTTACTATCTTCCATGAGCGGGGATTTGTTGTTCCCGTGCATAGATTCCTTCGGGGGCTGCTGGATTATTACCAGGTGGAGTTGCAGCATCTTACTCCCAATGGGGTTCAACATATGGCGGCGTTTGTTGCCCTGTACGAGGGTTTCCTAGGGATTGATCCCCACTTCGATCTGTGGCGGCACTTCTTCATCGTTAGTCTGTCGAAGAGGCGGGTTGGGGGGAAGGAGGTGGATGTGCTGATGGGATGCACCAGCATTCATTTGCGCCATACCCAGTCGAGGGGCTACCCGTTGATGCGTCTGTTGACCTCCAACAAGGGGTGGCATTCGCAGTGGTTTTACGTCAGGGATGATGTGAGCGTTCCCCTGTCGAAGTACACTGGGCACCTCATCGAAGAGGCTCCACAGTCGTGGCAGTGGGGCGTCCTGACTAAGGAGAAGAAGCACATCATAGACCTTCTCGCCACCCTCCATGCTCTGAAGGAGCGGGGTGTGAAGGGGTCGGGGATTATCGGTGCCTACCACGCGAGGAGGGTGGCGCCGCTGATGGTGCGCGCGCTTCCCCTGCACCAGATGGTGCCTGGAGCGTTGTTCGAAGGGATGGTGCTTGTTGATGAAGCGCTTCCTCCCTTCGAGGTGGTGCAGCGCATTAAGGAGGCGATGGAGTCCTCGAAGGACACCACCGGCGCCGCCCTCAACCATGTGTATCCGGTGCCAGGGCATCCCCCAATGCGGCCGGAACCAGGGTTTTTTGAGTTTGTAAGCCTTCTTCCCTTGCGCTCCTCTCTTTACTTGAACCTTTTGACCCTTTGATGCTGACTCTGGGGTGTTCGTGGACCAGCCGAGGAGGCTAATCTTCAAGGACAGTCCGGCCCCGATGCCGAGGGATCAGGTGCTGGCGGCATCGAATCGTATTGTGGCCGAGTGGGACAAGAAGACAAGGGAGCTCAGGAAGTAGGAGAGGCGACGAAAGTAGGAAGCACAGAATCGAGGAGAGGATGTAAGCAGTGACGATGATGATGACGACGATGATGATGACGATGGTGATGAGGTAGCTGGCGACATGGATTGGGGTGTCCTAGAGGACGAGGGCACGCTGATAAGTGCCCATCCATTCATGTAGGAACCCCTCCCATTCCGTGCGGAGGGAAGCGAGTCCGCGAGGTCGGCGGAGGTGGGAGCCGAAGAGTCCACCGCTTCGCGCGGGGTGTCGGCAGAGGATCGATGGATGGGGGGATCCGAGGAGGTCCCTGAGGTGCTAATGGAGGGGGGCGGCTCCGATGCCGTGCCCCATGAGCTGATGGAGGGGGACGGC